TGTCCGGTCCGGGGTGGTCTTCCTCCCTTGAATCAGGCTGCACGTGAGCGACGATCGAGTCGGGCCTGTCCCTCTACAGGAGGAATGTTCAGAACTGGTCAAACAATAGTCTGGGGACGATGTTTGGAACATTTCTTTTTGCTACGTGGGAGCATTTTGGGGGTATTTGCAAATTTGTCACTCAAAATCCCCCTGTAGGGGGACATGCCCGACCTAAAGCGACGATCGAAAACCGGTCTTGCGCGAGATGACATAGCGACCTTGCGCGAACGCTCACGCGGGCCACTAGCGCGGAGAGCCACATGCGAAGCGAGGGCGGTGACGCGCGTCCTCACGCGAGTAGCTTACGCGCGAACGTCGGCGCAGGCGACCCCGCGTTTTTGCGTCGCTCGTGTGAGCATCGGGCCAGATGGGGCCGCCAGGACACATCGAAGCATTGACTCGGCGAGCACGGCACGACGTCGGCCCCGCATCGGATCGATCGGATCGACGTGGGCCCCGGGAGGCTGTCTTGACTGCTGGCCAGGATGGCCGAGGGCGCGCGGCGCACGCAGGCAGGGGCAGGAACCGCGGAGAGGAGGCCTCGCCGGCGGGTCGGCGCGTCCCCCATGGGGCGGGCGCGCTGCTCTGCGCGGGGTGGGGCGGGCGGGCGGGCGGGCGGGCGGCTTCCACGTCCCTCTCGAAGCAGGCTCTGACTGACGAGGAAAGATGCAAGGCCTGCCTGCGTGGCAACGGATCTCCCTTCACTGGCTCGACGCGCCCGCGTGCACGATCGGAGGACAGCAGATGGTTTGAGCGCCGGCCTAGGCGCGCCAGGCCAGCTTTCACGTCCCGCCCCGCGAGACGGGTGATGAAGGGGGGTGGAGACGGGGGGGCTGCCTCGGGGGGCGGGACAGTGGCCTGGACTCAGCGATGCGTCTCGCCGACAGAGATCGGCGATGCGGTCGACCCGTATGAGAAGGCTGCGCGGTGAGGATGCGAGGGCCTTGGCGGGCCATGTCGACGTGTTTCGAACGAGGTTGGCCAGCGAAAGTTACCAAGCATGGGCCGAAGGGACAAGGATGCGAGGGGTAGCCTTGGAGAGGCTGCCCATCCTCATTGTGCGGGCTGACTGCAGGCCCCCGGGCAGGGAAGCCGACGCTCCTGGGCAGGCTGGGGCACCCCGGCCCCCGATCGAGGTCCCCCGCCCGGAGATGCAGCTCCCCCCCTGCCGTTGCCCCTGGGGGGCGAGGAAGGTGAGGTTTCAATCGGGCATGTCCCTCCACGGGAGGAGTAGTCAGGAATAGTAGAACAATCGTCTGGTGACGATTTGTCGTGCTCTTTTGACAATCTTTTGGCTCATTGTTGGACTATTGTTTACTTGTCTTCCAAGATCCGCCTGTAGGAGCACATGCCCGAGCTAAGCCTGGACTCAGCGATGCATCAGCGATAGGCACCGGGTAGGGAAGCCGACGCTCCTGGGCAAGCTGGGCTGGGGTACCCTGGCCCCGATCGGCGATCGAGGGGCGGTTGGAGGCCGCCCTGAGAGGTAGGTCCCCCCTGCCGCTGCCCCTGGGGGACGAGGAAGGCGAGGTCGGCGGTTCTCATCCTGGCCCCCGCTATTTCCGAGGCCGGGCCAACGACGATGTTGCTTGACGTTGATGTTGGGAACCAGATCGTAGGAAATCATGAGCCATACCTTCCTGCATTTCCAATCTGCGAATGGTTCGAGCGAGCACGACACAGCGAAGCGTAGGAACGCGCGAGCCACGCGTTCCCACAATACCGAAGCCTACGTCGCGGTTACCTACATCGCCAGTGGCCCGTCTACGTATTATTGCCCTCCCGTCCCTCGCCCCGCCCCGTGCCGTCCGCTTCTGTCGCCCGACCCCCATGTGTACCACCCGGTTTGCAAATCTTAGTTCGGGCATGTCCTCCTACAGGCGGATCTTGGAAGATAGACAGAACAGACAATCGAGCCATAAGAAGATAGCCAGAAGAGCACGACGAGTCGTCACCAGACTACTTTTCTACGATTCTTGAGCGCTCCTCCTGCAGAGGGACGTGCCCGACTCGGTGCTGATCTGGAGCCCTCCCGGGTCAAGCGCCCAGGGGCGGTCACGCACGGCGCCCTGGAGGCACCACTGCCCACGGCGCTGCGGCGCGAAGGTGCAGTCACTGGCCCACCCTGGAAGCCCCGAGCACACCAACACTGAGGTCGGGCAGGTCCTATTTCAGGCGGGTTTTGGAAGACACATGGAAACAGTCAACAAATGGTCAAGCACTATCAGAAAAATGAGTGTAACATCGTCCCCAGACTATGTTTTAACCATTTCTACATGTTCCTCCTGTAGGAGGGACGTGCCCGACTGAACACTAGTTAACATTGACGTTCCTCTTGGTCGGGGTTCTTCTGACCCGGGTCGATCCAGACCCGGGTCAGCAGGAAACCAAACCACTGCAATGCAGGAAAGATCAACTGCGACGCAAGTCTTCGCAAACCCGAGTCAGCCAATACGCGCGGCCGCCTCGCGGCCACCAGCGCCTCGCTGACCCGGGTCAACCAAAATCTGCGGTGGACAAACCTCCCTTTAGTAAACCTCCCTTTAGTGAAGACGGCCTGGGATCGAAACCGACGGACATGGCCCCCCAAAAATGACGGCCGCGACGCCCTCTCGCGAACCGAAAACGGCCAATTCGCGAATCGACGTGTCAGGGTAGGAGGTCTGTCCACCCCCGACAAAAGGGGTCTTCGCAGGATCCTGCAGGATCCGTTCTTCTTCTTATTATGATTATTATTATTCGTCTTCTTCTGCTTCTTCTTCTTCATCGTCTGCTTCTTCTGTTTCTGCTTTTTCTTCTTCTTCTTCCTCCTCCTCCTCCTCTGGTGCCCCGGCTGACCCCCGCTTTTGCATGGCCCCCCGTCTCTGGAGCCCCGCCTCGGCATGGGCCGCTTCGCCTCCGCCGGCCTCCGCTTGGCCTTCCGCCAGAAGCACGGCGACTTCGCTCTGCCCCCACCCGCCTCCGATAAAACGACGCGAGGATCGGGGCAAAATCGGACACGGGACAACTCGAAATCTCGGAGAAGCGGCGGGCTTGGAGGAGGTATCGGGCGCCGCGGCCGCTCTCAGAGCGTTCCGAAACGCTCCGAGAGCGCTCCGGAGCGCTCTGGAGCGATTTGTCCGAAGGATTGCAAAGGATTGCAAAAAAACCCTTGATCGAAGGATTGCAAAAAACCCTTGAACGAAGGATTACAAAAAAAACCTTGAACGAAGGGTTTTTTGCAGTCCTTCGTTCAAGGGTTTTTTTTGCAATCCTTGATCCTAGCCCTGCTTTGAGCCTCCACTTGCCTTCCGCTTTGTCGGGTCGTACCTCCGCTCTCCGCCGCTGCGGGGCGGCCCGGGCCCCCCCCCCCGGGGACGCTCGACGCGGCGAGGCGCAGCTAGTGCAAGGCGCCCCGAGGCAGGCCGGCACAGCGCAGAGGGCCAACGAGCACGCGCGAACATCCCGAGCCTGGAAACCCAGACCCCCGACGCCATGATTTCTTCGTTGCGCCGACCCCCAGAGGTCCCGAGCCCTTCCCCAGGGCCAGCTTTGCAGCCCGAGTCGTTTTCTGACGCTCCCTAGGCCCGGCGAGGGCCCCCGGAGGCCGAACAAATTCGGAGATCCTCCCGTCATGATTTTTGTCGTTAACTGCTCGAGGGGGTCTGGGAGTGTCGCCCGAGCCAACGGCGAGGCGGGGCCCCCCGTCCGTCTTGCCGAGGCACTGCATGCTGCGGCAGGAGCTCGGGGAGGTGCCGCGAGGAAAGAGCCGAGCCAGGTCGCCCCCCCCCCCCGCCGAAGCCTTCCTCTTGAGGCCCTGGAGGGGGGCTTGCGAGGGGCCCCGGGGGGGCCCAGGCGTGGCCAGAGCGGACCTCCACCTTGAAGTCGGGCCTGTCCCCCTACAGGGGGATTTTCGACGAAAACAAAAAATACCCCCAAAATGCCCCAAAAATGCCTCGAGGCCTCGAGGTGGGCTTGCAAGGGGCCCAGGGGGCTCAGGCGTGGCCAGAGAGGACCTCCACCTGTAAGTCGGGCCTGTCCCCCTACAAGGGGGTTTTCGACAAAAAATAAAACATATCTCCCAAATGCCCCAAAAAGGTCAAACAAATACTAGAGAAATTGTCCCCAGACTACTTTTGGAGTATTTTCGGATTATTTTTGGTGTATTTTTTATTTTTTGTCGAAACTCCCCCTGTAGGGGGACAGGCCCGACCTAACTCCACCCTCGAGGCTTGTTTGAGAGGAGGCTCCGGCCCGGGGAACCCCAACGCCAGCAGAAACGTAAAGCCACGAACACGCAGGACGCTCCAGGCATACACGACAAAAAACAGATCGCAAACAACGAGCAAACCCTTGAGAGGTTTGTCTTGTTAGAGGGGGTCTGGTCCCTGAGGTCCTCCAAACCGTTAAAAACCCGGACATGAGCCGTCCTGATTTTTTCAGGACGGCGCCCCTGGAAGTCCCGACCCTTTCCCCGGGACCGGTTCTTCGTCCCGAGTCGTTTTTTGGCAGTCCCGAGGCCCGGCGAGGGCCCCCCCGGGGCCGAAAATAGCCAGGACACTCCAGGCCCATCCTACAGTCAACGCGTACAAGAAGGATGCGCGGTAAGGATGCAGGGGCCTCGGAGGATCACGTCAGCGTTTTTCAGACGAGGTTGGTCAGCGAAAGTCGCTGAGGATGGGCCGAAGGGGCAAGGATGCAAGAGGCTGCCCATCCTTACTGTTAAGTCGGGCCTGCCCCCCTACAGGGGGATTTTCGACGAAAAATAAAAAACACCCCAAAAATAATCCAAAAATAATCCGAAAATAGTCAGGGGACTATTTTTGGAGTATTTTCTGACATTTTTGGGGTATTTTTGAAGAAGTGTTTCGTCCGAAATCCCCCTGTAGGGGGACAGGCCCGACTTAACCTTACCATGCAGGTTCGCTGCATCCTCTTCCGAGCGAACTCCGCTCTGCGACGCTGGCGCCACGAGAGTCCTGGGCGCCCCGCCGCGCGGCGAGCTCTGCGGCCTCCGCCGCCTCCGCCTCCAGCTCCTCGCCCAGGGGGCGGGGGGGCTGCGGGCTGCCGTGCCCCGCCCGCGGACGCCGAGCGAGCCTGACTACCCACCAGACCACCCCAACCCAACCCGAAGACCCGCATTTCGGGTTGGGGGGGGGTATGGGTTCCATACGCGTTTTTTCGATGGTCCCCGACCCCCCCCCACTGGAAATGGATGGCGAATCGGGGCCTCCGGGTTGGGTTGGGGTGGGTTGGTGGGTGGTGAGAGCCAGCCGCAGACGAGGTGCACTGCGCAGTGCTCGCCGTCTCGAGGCCAAGATCCCCTCGAGCCATGATAGACTTGCACCAGAGAGAAAACCCCAATCAGTGGATGGTTTGATCGATAAAGAGAAGATCGACTGGGAACCCGGGAACCCGGAGCCCAACAAAATCGGCCCGGGACCAATAACCAGGAACCCAGGAACCCGGAACTGGGAACCTGGGAACCCAGCCGGCCACCAAACTCGGCGGGACACTTTCGCCAAATCTTTCAATTTCTGCCAGGACCCTTTCAGTGCAAACACTGATTGGGAATCATGACGGGGACGGGAGGCTTTTCGCTATCTTCAGCCCCTTGGGGCCCTCCCGGGCCTGGGGACCGTCAAAAATTGAGCAGGGACCGACCGTCCCGGTATTTCTATAGTCATACCACGAAATGTTCTTAGACCCCCCAAAATGTTATAAAAATTATCCCGGCGAAGGACCCAACCATATGCAATTGTGAATAACGCTTTGTGGGTGCCGCTTGCGGTGGGGCTCCCTATGGGGCCACGAAAGGCGTGCCACGAAACGCAGTCCTGGGCGTACGGGACGCATGAGGGCGGTAGCACTGGGGCCTTCGGTGGAGCTCCCTATGGGGCCACGAAACGTGTGAGGGGTGTGCCAAATTGGGTGCGGCGCCGCCATGCCAACGCAGCCACTGGGGCCTTCGGTGGAGCTCCCTATGGGGCCACGAAACGTTTGAAGGGTGTGCCGAAACGGGCGCGGCGCCGACATGCCAACGCAGCCGCTGGGGCCTTCGGTGGAGCTCCCTATGGGGCCACGAAGCGTGTGAGGCGTGTGCCGAAATGGGTGCGGCGCCGCCATGACAACGCAGCTAGTGGGGCCTTCGGTGGAGCTCCCTATAGGGCCACGAAACGTGTGAGGGGTGTGCCGAAATGGGTGCGGCGCCGCCATGCGAACGCAACCACTGGGGCCTTCGGTGGAGCTCCCTATGGGGCCACGAAACGTGTGAGGGGTGTGCCGAAATGGGTGGTGGGGACTGCGAACGCAGCCACTGGGGCCTTCGGTGGAGCTGGGCCCACACGTTGGGGGTTGCCTTCGCCGGCGAACGCAGCACGAGCCCTATGGGGCCAACGAAGCGTGTGAGGGGTGTGCCAAACTCATGCGAACGCAACCACTTGGGCCTTCGGTGGAGCTCCCTATGGGGCCACGAAACGTGTGAGGGGTGTGCCGAATGGGTGCGGCGCCGCCATGCCAACGCAGCCACTGGGGCCTTCGGTGGAGCTCCCTATGGGGCCACGAAACGTGTGAGGGGTGTGCCGAAATGGGTGCGGCGCCGCCATGCGAACGCAGCCACTGGGGCCTTCGGTGGAGCTCCCTATGGGGCCACGAAACGTGTGAGGGGTGTGCCAAATTGGGTGCGGCGCCGCCATGCGAACGCAGCCACTGGGGCCTTCGGTGGAGCTCCCTATGGGGCCACGAAGCGTGTGAGGGGTGTGCCGAAATGGGTGCGGCGCCGCCATGCGAACGCAGCCACTGGGGCCTTCGGTGGAGATGGGGCCACGCAGCCAAACATGGGGCCTTCGGTGGAGCTCCCTATGGGGCCACGAAACGTGTGAGGGGTGTGCCAAATTGGGTGCGGCGCCGCCATGCGAACGCAGCCACTGGGGCCTTCGGTGGAGCTCCCTATGGGGCCACGAAACGTGTGAGGGGTGTGCCAAATTGGGTGCGGCGCCGCCATGCGAACGCAGCCACTGGAGCCTTCGGTGGAGCTCCCTATGGGGCCACGAAACGTGTGAGGGGTGTGCCAAATTGGGTGCGGCGCCGCCATGCGAAGGCAACCACTGGGGCCTTCGGTGGAGCTCCCTATGGGGCCACGAAACGTGTGAGGGGTGTGCCGAAATGGGTGCGGCGCCGCCATGCGAACGCAACCACTGGGGCCTTCGGTGGAGCTCCCTATGGTGCCACGAAACGTGTGAGGGGTGTGCCGTGATAGTGGGAGGAAGGAGGAGGGAGGGGGGAGGAATGAAGGAAGGAGAGGAGAGGAGAGGAGAGGAGAGGAGACGCGGGGCACCGTCTCTTCAAAACGAAGACCCAACACTGCAGGATGGTTGGGAACAAAAACGATGTTCTTAGTACATAAACCCGATGTGTTAAAACGAGACAATCCCAGCCAGAAATGTTCTAAGAACATGCCGTGGGAACCACAAAAGGTTCTTAGAACATTGCTTGGTGGGGCTATAAGCGAGCCGGGACGCTTCGCCACTGCTTGAAAAAAATGGCGCAGAATCTGAGAAACCGGTCACGGGAAACACGACGTCGGGGGGCACGGGGAGCCTGGCTCGCCAAGACCGCCTGGCCTCTCGGCGCAGGGAAAGTCTTCCGTGGACGGTGCTGCAGGAACCAAATGCGGCAGGTCATCTTGTGGCGCCAGGCGCGCGGGCGGCAGCCACGTGCGGATGTTGCACGACGTGCGCATCCCGCGCGAGCGGTTGCACGAACTATGGCGTACATGTTCAACCCCCCCTCTGCAAACCCAGACCCTCGGCGTCATGTTCTTTTCATGAACGCGACCCCCAGAGGTCCGGACCCATCCAGGGTTCCGGTTTCTCAGCCTGAATCGTTTTTTGACGGTCCCGAGGCCCAGTAAGGGCCCCCATATGCCGAAAATGAAAAATCTCCCGTCGTGATTTTTTATGACTCGAGGGGGTCTGGGAATCCCACCACCTCCTTTCTCCCAGCCCGGGGACGGGGGGGGCTGCTGGCAGCCGCCGCGGCTGGAATGGGGGAGGGTTGGGCAGGTTCGAGGACGGCCCACTGGCAGGCTCGCGCGCGGGCTCGGTTCGGGCCCCACCGCGGCGCCAGCCATCGGCGGCTGACTCGGACGTCGTACCTCAGAGGCCTGGAGCCCGTGGCCACTCGCCCCAGAGGTGGACGAGCACCAGGGCCGCGGAACGGCAGGCAGGGCGCAGAGGGGTGGGAGCGAGAGGGAGGACGAGGATCCCCCTGCTCCTCCTGCTGCTCATGCTCCTGCTCCTGCTCCTCCTCCTCCTCCTTCTCCTCCTCCTTCTGCTTCTCCTGCTGCTGCCCCTCCTCCTCCTCCTCCTCCTCCTCCTCCTCCCCTCCTCCTCCTCTTCCTCCTCCTCCTGCTCCTCATTCGCCTCCTCTTCCTCCCGGAGGAGGCAGGCACGCTTCAGCGATCTCATTGCGAGAGCTCGTCAGCTGGATGGAGTCGGGGATATGCTTCGGGAGAGCGAAGCGAGGGGGGCGAGGGAGGGACGGGGCGGGGGCAAAGACGCCTTCTCCTCCTCCTCCTCCGCCTCCTCCTCCTGCTGCTGCTCCGCCTCTGCAGGACATGGGAGGCGCGGGAGACCCAGACCCCCGACGTATATATATATATATATATATATACAGATATATATATATATATATACACACATATATATAATTGCGTCCCCAGAGGTCCGGACCCTTCCCCATGACCGGCTTTGCATCCTGAGTCGTGCCGTTTTTTGACGCTCCCGAGGCCCGGTGAGGGCCACCGGAGGCCGAATCTTAAGAGAAGCCTTCCGCCACGCTTTTTGTATTGCTCGAGGGGGTCTGGGGAGCAAAAGCAGCTCCTCTGCGGCCCCCACTGCCTGGCCCCCCTGCCGCCTTCCGCTCGCTGGCCCCGCCCGCTGCCCGCCCGGGCGGCCGCTCGGCCGGCACCTGGCCCCCGCAGGTGCACGACCTTCCAGCCCCCGTTCCCCGCCGCGCCGCGCGCTTTGCCCCTCGGCTGTGGCGCGCGCTTCCCCTCGGAGCGGTGCTCCAGACCCAAACCCCCTCGGGGGATGAAAGAATCGTGACGGGAGGTTCTTCCTAAGTCTCGGCCTCCGGGGGACCTCACCGGGCCTCGGGACCGTCCACAAACGACTCAGGATGAAGAGCCGGACACGGGGAAGGGGTCGAGACCTTTGGGGGTCGACGTAATGAAGAAATCATGACGTCGGGTGTCTGGGAATCCCTTAGGAATCGTCCCACGGGTCCGGTTTTGGAAGGCGCCTCCTTTGTAACTGGGAGGGGGTCCGGTTTAGTGGGGCGCTTTCTTTGGATTGGAGCTTCGGGGGTCCGGTTTATAAAGGCGCCCCGTCGAAGAGGGGGGTCCCGAATATTGGGTCGCATGTGGAGGAGGGGCCGTAAATTTTGACAACCCCGCATGAGCTTCGGGGGCCCTCACACCCCTCTCGGGGAGACGTAAGACGCGGGTACAGGGCACTCGGGTTGGCCTGACAGGGCCATCATACAAATGACGAGGCCCAATCTGAAATCTGACGCGAGCTCCCGCTACAAACATCCCACGCAAACCGGACCGTTTAAATCAAGGGCGCGCTCGTCAAAAAACGTCGGCAAATTCGAGTTCCAGCTTACTCCAGTCTTGCGTTTCCCCGACCCTCCTGGGCCCCCCCCCGCTCCTTGTCTTGCCTTCCCTCCTTCCTTCGAGGACCGAGGAGAGAATTGCGGCGTTGGGTAAGAAGGGTGCGCGCGTCGCGCGCTCTCTGCTCCACTCCTTCGTCGTGTCGTCGCTATTGCTCACGCTAGTAACTACACGATAGCCCTAAAGGAACCTGGCCGCCCCCACAGGCGAGCCGATGCCTAGTCCATCAAGGGGTCGTGAGGCCCGGACGCCACTCTATCCCCCAAGCCATGCCGTTCCTTTTCGTCGCTCTCCTCTCGTTAG